TGGCACACCTTAAATGCCACAGGTGACTCTTTTGCCTGTGGGGTCAGGAGCCTTGCTCTCCAGATGCTTAAGTTTTAGTCAGGTAGGTCTGGGGAACAAGAGACAGATTTTCACACTTATACTGAACTATTTACTGGTTTTAGGGCAGCCTTACAGAGGCCTGTCAGGAGACAGGTAATAAACCTACGAAGAACACTCACTGTGGCAACATTAAGTTCATTAAACTAATTGATCATTTCCCCATGGGGATTGAACTTTTGAAACCTTAGGAAGTTCATTCGTATCTTTATGATGTAATTTCCCCTACTTTCTTCTCCTAACTACTTCTTTCTTTCTTTCTTTCTTTCTTTCTTTCTTTCTTTCTTTCTTTCTTTCTTTCTTTCTTTCTTTCTTTCTTTCTTTCTTTTCTTTCTGTCTTTCTTTCTTTCTTTCTTTCTGTCTGTCTGTCTCTCTCTCTCTCTCTCTCTCTCTCTTTTTCTGTCTCTCTCTTTCTTTCTCAGTTCACTCTTAATTTCCTCTAGAGATCTACAGTCCATCTTCATACATAGTGTTAGGTTAGGGATACAGTTTTATGTCCCTGCATAATGCGGGGTGCCATCTTAAGGTTCCTGTAGTCAGGTAGGCCAGCCAAAGGATTTCTATTGCTATGATAAAAAAACATAACCAAAAGCAACTTGGGGAGGAAAGTGTTTATTTCAGCTTAAAGTTCCAGATCACAGTCCATCATTGAAGGGAGTCAAGGCAGGAACTCAAAGCAGGAAGCTGAAGCAGAAGCCATGGGAAGTGCTGCTTACTGGCTTGCTCCTTATGCCTTGCTCGGCAGGTTTTCTTCTATAACTTAGAACCACCTGCTCAGGGGTGGTGGCTCCCCTGTCGGCTGGGCCCTCCCACATCAACCATTAGTCAAGAAGATGCCCTATAGACTTGCCCACAGGCAATCTGATGGAGGCGTCTTCTTAGTCAAGGTTCCTCCCAAATAAGTCTAGGTTTGTGTCCTGTTGACAAAAGTCAGCTAGAACACAGGCTGTGCACCTCTAGAAAAGATTTATTACAGCTCTAAGGGGCAAGAGCACACCAAGTTCTGTATACAGAACCTTGCCACATTCCACAAGTCTCTCTCTCTCTCTGTCTCTCTCTGTCTCTCTCTGTCTCTCTCTCTGTCTCTCTCTCTGTCTCTCTCTCTGTCTCTCTCTCTCTCTCTCTCTCTCTCTCACACACACACACACACACACACACAGTGGGGAGAGAAGGAGAAAGAGATAGGGGGGAGGCTGAATCCATCTCCAGAGATCCAGAGAAAAGACTGTTCACAGCATCGATGTCCCTTTGAGACCAGAGCACAGCAGGGACCAGATGTGGCTGAAATCCAAACAGACCTCCAAGTTAACGGATCTGGAGGAAACCACAGGAAGCTGAGGAAGTCAAGCTGGATCAATTCGAAGTTCAGGAGGGAAGGAAAAGATCCTGTTCACCACAGAGGGAAGGGCAGGAGGGAAAGAGAAAAGAAGGGGAGAGGGGAGAAAGAAAACACAACCTCTCCCCTGAGGACTGAGACTGACGATCAGGCAGAAAACAAACTGTACCCCAGGTAGGGCCTAACTGCAAAACCTAGAAAAGATCTCTGGCTACTTAACCATCACAGGAATGGGTCTCAGCAGCCCAGGGGCTCCAGGGGACATCCTGGCCTGTTCAGGTGCTTTAGGAACTAAACGTTGCCTGCCGCCTGCCGGTGAGGTGGGTGTTCCTTAGCGTGAAGCAAGGTCCTGGGCTGCTGATCCCATTTTGGATAACTGCATCGAGGAAGCCCCTTCCCCCAGTGGAAGGGGCTGAATGACACCCGGGAAACACAAACTTGAACCTGGCCAACAGTTAGGGCTCAGAGACAGCTGATAGCCTGAGGGTCCCCACAAAAGCCTGGGAAACCTGGGAACTCTATTTTTCAGAAAAATTGGGAGGCCTGCCTGACCCACGACAACATCAGGTCTGTGATATGTGGGGACAAGAGAGCCTGTGGACGACCTTGTAGGACAGTCAGCCCTACAGAAGGGAGGGCTCCGACACCTTCTAAGTGCCTCTTCTGTGGTGAGGCAAGAGGCTTCCATCAGTCCCTGGTAATGGTTGACAGAGATTGAAAACCAAACAAGAGAGCCAGGGAGATAACTTAGGAGTGAAGAGTTCCTGACTGCTCCTCCAGAGGACCCAGAACTCACGTGGTGTCTCACAACCATCTGTAATGCCAGGGGATCCAATGCCCTCTTCCATCCTTCATGGTACCAGGCACGCACACACTATTCAGACATACACCCAGGCCAAAAACTATATATATAATAAAATAACTAAAATAAAACATCTAAAAATTAAAAAAAAAATAAACCCAAGCAAGAACAGATGCCGAGACCATTGTCTGTGGAGCCCCAGGCCCAGAGGCCCTGCAAGCTGGCAGCAGGAGTGGCCCCGTGGATACACGTTTTTTCTCTTTCTTTTTACTTATTCTATGTGTCTTTTACATCATGTATCTTGAACCCATTCATTTCTCTATCCCTTCGCATCCACCCTCCACCCCTGCACCCCTCCACCCCCACACACACCTCTTAAACAAAATTTAAGAGAAGAAAGGGAAAAGGGAAAATTAAAAATCTCATCATGGAAGCTGCAGTGTGTCAGTGAGTCACGCAGTAAACTCCTTTGTCCATGTATCTTTACGTGCAGGTGTTCCTTGCAAAGAGTCACTGGTCTGGTTCGAGGTCTCTGGTGTCTACTCCACTATCAATGCTGGGCCCTCACTGGGACACTTGGGTATTCTGTTGTTGCCCTGCGTCATGGAGATCCTGCTGCTTTGGGTCTCTGGGTCAGGTTCCTTCACGTGCTCCAGCAGATCATAGATGGGGTGGATGTTGGGGTGGGCCAAGTCGTCACCCTGGTTCTGGGCCTGCTGCAGGGTCCACCGGCCAGTTCTCCCCGTCCTCACAGGGTGAGGTTTCCAGCGCTGCTCCGGCTAATTCACTCCTTGCAGCAGTGAGTGAGGGGTGGGACCAGCTCTCCTGCTCTCACACCCCCATCCCACACCTACACCCCCAGGGCCAGCTCTCCCACACCTACACCACCAGGGCCAGCTCTCCCACACCTATACCCCCAGGGCCAGCTCTCCCACACCTACACCCCCAGGGCCAGCTCTCCCACACCTACACCCCCAGGGCCAGCTCTCCCACACCTACACCCCCAGGGCCAGCTCTACTGTGTTGCCCAGGTGATGTACAAAGGCCACTCTCCAATAAAGAGAGGAACTGTCCGTGGTTGTCCTATGTTCAGGCATCAGCTTAGGAGTGAGGAGCAGCCTGGACGGCAGTCTCCCCTGCCGCTCGGAGCACCTACTGAGAGGGAGCCCGCCTGTGCACCCACTCTTGGACCACCATTATGTCCCCTGCAGTGTGAAGGGGCAGCGGTGGTACTCTTTTGTCTTTGAAGATGTATTTCATTTTCTCGTGTGTGTGTGTGTGTGTGTGTGTGTGTGTGTGTGTGTGTGTGTGTACTTTTGAGGGTCTGCACATGTGAGTATGAGTGGAGGTCAAAGGTGTCAGACCTCCCGAGCTGGATTTACAGGCGGTTGTGAGCCTATGGTCGTTGAAAACCAAACTTGGGTCCTCAGCAAGAGCATTATGTTTCTGTTTCTCTCTCTCTCTCTCTCTCTCTCTCTCTCTCTCTCTCTCTCTCTCTCTCT